CAAAAACTCAAACCAAGCCCTAATTTCAGGTATTACAATCATTATTCTCGAAATCACAAAGCTTTTGTCTCCTTAGACTATTTGCTGACTTAAGCATCAGAAGGTTTTCTGGTACACATCCTCCGGCTAGCTCACATTTGTGATTTCAGGTATTATGATGCCGTTTTGAGGAGCACAAGCTTGATTAACAGGATTATATAAGTGACAATTATTTCATACTCGTACAGATGTGCAAGTTTTCCCTCTTTTGAATTGTGGTTATATAAAATAATGTAGGAAATGAAGTATAATTTCATATATAGAATCACTATAAAATTTATACGACAAAGAATAACATAAAATTGATATTGGGTATAGTATAATGCATGGGAAAAAAAATGCAATTTAGCATTAAAAAAAATCCTAATACCCTTGAAAGAATTAGGAAGAAAAATGTTAAACGCAAAATTGGTATTGAGTTTGTAGATTATTACAATTTACCATGAAAAATATATGAAAAAAAATATTTGTCAAATACAGTCTAGAAAATAAGTAAAGTTAGCATAATTTAATTAAGTTTGGGTTTGTTTAGAATTCTAAATGTAATTAAGAAAATACATGTTGACGTGGCTCTCTTACAAAAAAAAAAAGTAAGCCCTTAATGTGCCACCCAAGTATAGAAAAAACACTACTTTTAATAATATTTTTGTGATATATATGATGGATAAATTACAAATACACTCATGAGGTTTGCTTAAAGTACAGATTATCCTCTGTGATTTGAAAAAAGAGTTAATTACCGAAAAGTCTTATTTACATATTTGGTAGTAACTTAGGTCATGTCTAAATTTTTTTGAACCAATAAGTCCTATTTACAAGTAAAAAGACTTTTTTTCCCTTCAACCCAAACAAGTGTATATATGATCTTATTTACTAGAAACAAAAATAAATCAATTATGAGAAGTGTAGACACCTTATTTTTAGCGGCCCTTACGATTTGGACGTCATCGCTTGCACACCCAATGATGAGTCTATATGCTTGTCAAGTGCTTGAAGTCCACAGTAGAATGCCACAGCTTTGAGCCTTTCAAACCTTGCACCCCTGTTACCTTATTTTTGGACCAAACCTAGAGATTTTCAGGCCTGCAACCCTTGGTGGCCTGCCGGTCATTGCTTTGGGCTACCGGCTTTCACTCTTGGTTGCCGGCCACTGATGTGGCCTACCGGCCACCAATGTCTTTTGCAGATATTTTGTAACAATTGTGCCAGGTATTTGCACAGATGCTTGCATTTGCTCCCACATGTATGGCTGGATGTTTTTGAGGAAATTGCATGGTTCTCTATATATAGAAGACCTCCCTTCTTTCCATGGGGTTAGAAAAATTTTGGAGCAAAATTTTTCCTCTCTCCCTCTCTATCTCTCTCTACAGTTTTCTCTCTCTTGCAAATTTCTTCACCTTTGCCTATACACTCTTAACCAAACCTCTCCATCTTTGATCTGAGGTATTTTTTAGCCTTGTTTGAGCTCTTGAGAGTGTGTTTTCCTTGGTTTATTGCTTGAAATTGATCTCCTCTTCAAGAGGTATAAGGCTTTGCCTCTTTACTTGCTTTATTCACTCTTTTCTTGCTATTTTTCAACTGGTTTTGGGCTGTAAAAACTTTGTATTTTTTGGCTGAAACTTAGGTTTTAAGGCCAATAAAGGTTGAGGGATGGCTCACCATTCTTTACACCTTGCTTTCAAGGCCTGTTCCTTTATGTTTTCCACCTTTACGTTATCTTTTTTTGAGCTTTTAAACACTGATTTTCAGAGCTATTTCAGCTGCTAAAATCATGTTTTGAAGTTCAAAATTGAAGAGGTTGGCCTCCCCTTCTTGTGTTTTGCTTACTAGCCTAGCATGATCCATGTTTTAGCCTATTGTTCTAGCCATTTTTGTCTTAATTTCAGCATGTTTTAGGACTTTTTTTAGGCTATTTTAGGATTGTCTTTAAGTGTTTGTTGCATTTGAGCTTTATTTTGCATGCTTGTAGTGTAACTGTCCTCGTGAGTTTGGTGTTTTAGGCTTTAAACATCATCTTATTTGAGTTGATTGTGTTTATTTATGGCTTTCCATACTTGTGATCACTCTTAATCACCTCCATAACCTCCATCCTTTCTTGGCTTTTGTTTTGCTTTAAAAGTGGTTTCAAACTACTTGTTTGTTTAAGCATGAGATTGAGATGTCATGCTTAATGGTTTAATCCCATTAGGGGTTCATTACCAGTGATATGATGTCTCTTTCATGCCTAAAACAACTCTTGGTTTGAGCCCTCTTTCCATTAGAGGACTTTAAACTCACCTTTGGACTCAATTGACTAAAGAATGGATGGTAATCTAAAATGAACTAATAAAATTGATGCTAAAAAAGGTGCAAGATAATAACTTGTGTGGGTTCGATCGGACGTTAATTGAACCCTTGAGTCTTGAGTTGTTTCATACTCATTGGTGATGAAAACGGTTCAAGATTCATTGTCAACTCCTTCCCTTGATCTTTCCTGATAGGGAGGTGGTTTTGAGAGTCTCATTTTGTCGCATTTATTGAAACTTGCACACTTGGTTCATAAGCCATCATGCAATGAAATTGCATCTATTGGTGGTTTGTGGATCAAAATTGCTACTCCTTTAAGCTGTTCAAATGATAATGAGGGGTAAATTATGCAAACAAACCCTTAGAAATACACTATCTCTGCTCTATTTGCTCTCTGTTGCAGCAGGGAAGTTTTGTCAACAGTGGCCGGCAGGCCCTCTGCCAGCCACAAGTGCAAAATCTAGCAGTGTACTCCCCAGCAGAATAGAGTTAGTCTAGAGATGGAAATTGGTACAAGTGTTCTATTGTGCAACAAAGGCATTCAGTAGCAGAAATAGTGGTTTTTCGAGTGGAAACCGTATGCATGCATGAGCCCTCCATTGATCCTTGGGATCCGTGTTGTAAATATATATGTTGTGCTTAAAATAGTGGCTTTGTACTTAATTAGTTAGAAAAGATTTCGTGTTGTAATTATTTTAGTTAATTAGCTAGAATAGTTAATTATTTCAATTTGTAATAATTAGTTAAGTAGCTTAGCTATTTATTCATTTGGTTTTGTAATAGTTAATTAATTAGCTAGCTAGTTAGTTCATTCGAACTCTCCTCTGTGAGAGCGTAATGTTGTAATGACGTGTATGTCTTCCAACCCCACGTCTTTCTTCTTTTTATTTACTAGCTTATGATGGTTAGCTTAGAGCATCATGTTTTGTTTAGCATTCTCCATGCCTTGCATCCACTTGTGTTGCATGCACTGAGGCTCGGTTCATCATTCTAACTTGCATTGTTAGTTTAAATACTTCTTTGAATACGTGCCTAGACCACATGTTATCAACTTGATTCATATGCCATATTAGTATCCGAGCCTAGTAATTGCATATCGCATGTGTTACATTAGTCATTTTGCATAGTTTAGGATCATGCATTTTTTTAACTAGTTTCTCTATTGGCTTGGAGTACTAGGTGAGCCTTTACTTGCTTTAGCATATCGCATGAGTGTGATTGTTACCATGTCTAGCATGCTTGCCATAAGGTTAATTGCTTAATTGATAAATTGCTTGAATGCCTGTGGATAAAGTCTAGTTGCTTGAATTGAAATAATTTGAGTAATGTTCGTATGCGATCACTTTTTCAAGTGGTACGTATTCGAAACAATTTTCAAAACAAACATGAATCAAGTGTTCTAATTCTTGCAAGTTAGTCTATACTTGTGTGTGCACGCATCACATTGTAATACTAGCCTAATAAACCAGAACAAGAGCAGATAATGTACGTAAGATTCATATCATGATTAGTAGAGGCTGATCTTTAATCAAGCTAGCGGGAGTGCTCAATTCATGACATTCCCCTCTCATACCTAAGTTACCGAGCCGAGATAATCTTGGTGATGACGGACACGTGGCCTTTGGCACAAGTCATGGGTTTCCTAAATTTTCCCAAAAAATATTTAGGTGGTGACTCTGTATTTGGCAATGTAGTCCATTTTTGGCAATTTGATTCAAAATCAATTTTCCAAAAGATTTACTGGATTGGGACTCTTTGGTGATTATCTATTTCACATTGTACTTGTGGAATCAGATTCAGAACTGCGGGAGTCTGATACTATAGAGCTTATTCATCTTCCGAAATGGGGCATGAAAATGTCGAGCTACAGGAAGTAGATAAAGATTCGAATCTCAAAGGATCTTGAAGGATTTCTCGGTTTGGTTGGCTATTATACATAAATTGATTTCGGTGTTTGACAGATTTGTATTTGAGGCTTTTTGAGTTGAAATATGTTGGAGTTTGTTGGTATGATTTTGATTTTCAATTTGAAGAATTGATTTGCTGGATGCTTGATTTTCGATATGGTTTATAGGTATGTATTGTTTCGATTTTGTGTAATATGTGCTTTTAGAAAAAAAATTTAGGTATGATTGAATTTATTTATGAGAATATGTTGAATAATTTCGATTTTACAAATTGAAAACGTGATTTGTGAAAACCGAGAAAGTTCTTAGTATTGTTATGAAGTGTTTGTTCTGGTTTTGTAGTTTCAGCAAATTGAGAATTGTTCCAGTTTTTATTGATGTGATCACTTTTTATTTATTTATTTATTTAATTTTTATTTTTTTTTAGATTGAAAGATGAGTGAAGGTTCTACGAGTGTCCCGATTTTTTTGTTGTGCAAGTATAATGGTTGCACATTTACAATTAAGATTAATCAGAATGTTACATATAATCATTTGGTTGATAAGATGTGTTTGAAATGGGATAGTTTGCAATCTAATAACATTTGCCTATCTTACTCATTGCGTGGACATCCTAGTTGTACGTTGGACAACGATGAGTTAGAATCGTTGTTGGCATTAGTTGTGCATTTTGATTCACAGAGTATTGATGTTGTTGTGAAAGGAAAAACTTCAACCATTGACTGTGGTGATCTCAACAAAAGATTGGATTATGGAGAAAGAAATTAAATGTTGGAGCTTGAAGTTTGTGCCATTGCATTGTCTCATAACAACAGTAAGTCTGTGAAGTTGTCAACCAAAGCATCTACATCTTCCAAGAGGAATTCGAGGTTGGAGGTTGAAGAAGAAATTGATATGTTGTCATCATTTTGTCGACACAAGAAAAAAGTATTGTTGTCTGTTGGTTGGACAGATAGTATTACACATGTAGGATAGAAATTTGAAGGTGGAATTGTTGAATTTCATAATGCATTGTTGAAGTTTTCTATTGAGTGTAGATTTTAGTTTGTATTTGTTATGAATGATAGAGTCCATGTTATCGTACAATGTTTGTTTAGAAAGACAAAAGGTTGTATGTGGAATGATCATGGTAGAGTGGAAAATAATAATCGATTCTTTTATATAAGGAAGCTCAACAATGTCCACACATATGGTGCTGAAGTATGTACAATGAATCATTCTCGTATGAGGTTTGATTTAGTTGCTGATTTGATTGTTAAATGTGTTCGTGATAATCCATTGACACGTCCAATTTATGTTGTTTGGGATTTTAAGTTGGGGTATGGGCTGAGAGTTAGTTATCGTTAAGCTTGGTTAGGGGTAGAGAAAGCAAAGGGTGATATTTTTGGAGACTACTTAATGTCATTTGACTAGTTAAGTTGGTATGTTGATGTTGCAAAGAGTTGCAATCCAGGGAGTTGCATTGAGTTTGAGTGTGGCGATGATACTAAACGGTTTAAAAGATTATTTATTGCTTTTCATGGTCGCATTAGTGGATTTGATTATTGTCAACCTCTCTTGTTCCTTGATGGCACATTTGTGAAGAGAAGATTTAGAAGAAATTTACTTGTTGCTACAGGAAAAGATGGAAATCAAGGTACGCAAGAAATTTTTTTCTTTATTCTGAAATTGAGAAAGTTCTCAGTTTAGAAATATGATTGAATGTTTTAAATTTTTATAATATTGTTGTTGTATATGCATTTTTTATTTTTACGGTTATTCATTTTAGTGTTTGATATTTTGAATGTTAAAGTGTTACCATTTTCTAAGAATAATAGAATATTCTCATTTTTTTCTGTTTTGTACATGAAGGGTTCTTTCCTGTTTGTTTTGCAATTGTTGGCTCGAAGAATCAAGACAACTGGCATTGGTTTTTGGAACATTTGTGTACAATTGTTTCACCAAGAGAAAATATTACATTTGTGTCAGATCGTAACCTTGGATTAGTTGAAGTTTTGCCAAAGGTTTTCCCAATGACTTTCCATGCTTATTGTTTATATTATTTGAAGATGAACTTGAGGCATCATTTGCGTGGAATATTTCATGGATTGAAAGAAAAGCTGATCACTTTGTTTGGGAAATGTGCATATGCTCCAACAGAAGAAACAATTCATCAATGTTTGGGTGAGTTAAAGACTGAAGGTGGGTCAAGAGTTTAAAAGGCTTTAGATGATATACCATATGATCATTGGAGTAATGCATATTTTCAAGGGTAACGCTTCAGAGGGATGTGGTTGAATGTAACTAAATCTTTCAATTCATTGATACAAGAGGAACGTCATTTCCCTATCACAAAGTTGATTGATAGTGTAAGAATTAAGTTGACGAGAGGAATTGCTAAGTGGAGAGAGCTTGTTAATAAATGGAATGGTGTGATATGCCCCAAAATGGAGTCCAAGTTGCATGATGCTTTTAATACTTCGAGGCCATGGATTGTTAGTTCATCTGTGAATGATGTCTATGAGGTGCATTCACATCCATCTGTTTCAGTTGACATTAGTAGACAAATTTGTTCTTGTGGCGAGTGGCAGCTGAAAGGGGTTCCATGTGCACATGCAGTTGGTGCTATACAAAAGAGTGGACATGATTTGAGTTTATTTGCTGATCAATACTTCTATGTTCAAAGTTATCGAGAGTCCTATTCTTTTCCATATATCATGTTCCATCAATTTGGAAACCAAATTGTAATGTTGATGGTGATAGTGATGTTGTTCTTCTTCCTTTGTCTAGGAAGCAACCTGGAACGCCAAATGAGAAGAGGATTCGTTCCAATGGTGAGAAAGTAAAACAAGTTACTTGTGGTAGATATGGGAAGGTTGGCAATCACAATAAGAAATCGTGTAAGGAGGATTTGTGATTTTTTGTAGCTTCTTTGTGATTGTAAAAATTTCATATTCATAAATTTCTTGAAGTAGCAGTTTGTAATGTTGAGAGTTGAGTAATAATTTTCTATGTTTTGAATAAAGTGACATTGAATTGAAACTGAAAATATTCTTAGTTTCGAATTTTAGTTTTGAGATTGTTTGTGATAATATTGTTTGGTTGGCTTTGTGTTTGTTTTTAATGTGAATTATTTGTTTGGTTGGCTTTGTAAATAAACTTGACTGTTGAATGCTTGTTTTGAAAATTATGTGAATATTGTATAAAAAGTGAACATATTCTCAATTTAAGTTTTTAGTTTAAGATAGTTGATTTTTTTATAATAATGTGAGGCTCATGTTATGAATTGGAACAAGTTATAAATGTGATTAATTGAATGAATGTGAATTAACAATGTAAACAGATGTGATCAATGCTATGTTTTGAATAAAGTAACAGTGGACTAAAAGTGAAAATATTCTCTGCTTTGAATTTTAGTTTTTCAAATTGTGATAATATTGTGAGGCAACAAATAAATTGTTGTTATAATATTTGTTGTTTTGAATATTGAGTGAACAATGTATAAAACTAGAAATATTCTCAATTTTAAGTTTTTAATTTCAAAATAAGTGATTGTGAAAATATTGTGAGGCAACAAAGCATTGCATAAAAACTAAAAATATAAACAAAAACATCAACAAAGTACTAATTGTGATATAGTAAAGTCTTGTGTACAAAGTCCATTGAAACCATTATTTTCACATGTAACACTATTTTCACTTTTCCCATATAATAGTGTGAGGAACAAGATAATAAAAACTGAAAATATGAACAAAAACATCAAGAAAGCGCTGATGCATATATCTTTGAGAGTATGACAAAATATTCCATTACACATTATAGAAATTGTAATATGTTTGTGAGGCAATATGCTTGCAACTATCAACAAAAACATTAGTCATTGTATCTGAGTGTGACAAAAAAAGAGTTCATTGAGTTACACATAAAAAAAGATTTCATTGAATGTTGCAATCTTGACTCTACTTGACTCTAATTGATCTTTGTGGATCACTGAGGAACTCATGTACTATGTCTATTCTCAGTCTTGTGGATGCGCCTGGTGGTAATGTGTTTGGAATTGGTTGATGCCTTATGTATTGTCTTATGATGTAGCAAACAATAATTCCACAATCAGCCCTATAGAAATCATTTTTGACACAATTAGGGAAAAAACAAAATTTTTTTAAAAATATATTAAAATTTGTTAGTCAAAATAAGCATAACATACGTCATTTCTTCTTGTTGAGGGCTGTCTTTGATTGATTCAATCTTTACATCAGGATTCCATGCTTTTTCTGCTCGACAAAGTGTATCTTTCATGTATTCATTGATGCTTTTTGCTGTAAAAAACATCAATATAAAGTATGTAACGATTTACATCTGATTATAGTAATGTAAACTGAAATTTTTCTTACCAACTAATATGCAATGTTGTAGTGCTTGTCCTTTCCTTTTTTTAGTCTCAAAGAGTTGAAATGTTTCCAAGTCTCCAAGTGTTTGTCAATAACAAGTAATGTCCAATGATTGGAAATGTAGATGGGGATATGGATGTATCTACATGTGAGGGATTCTTGCAAAGTATTTTTCAAAATCTTTTTCCTTTTTTTGAAGTTTCCTTCTTCAACATTGGTTGGTTTTTACAAAAAATATGAGAATATTCACAGTAATGGTACGAAACTCAATATTCAAATCTTGATCAAAAGCAAGAAAACATGACTAACTACGATTTGTCACTCAATTTGATTCGAAATTTGAGTATATTCCCAGCAATAATACCAAATACTCAAAATTTGAGAACATTCACAGCAACGATAACAAACACAAAAATCAACTTTGAAACCAAAATCGAAAGGAAGATAACGTATAGCATTGACGCATGCACATTTATTTCTTACCCAATATAGACTTGACAGTACAAAAGACTTGCCATTGTGCTCTGCTCCATCTCCAGAATTCTGTGCTTGTGGCTCTCTTTCAAAAATCTCAGCATATGCATCAATTGTCTATGAAATTGGAACACAAAAGTCATGTTAATAAATTAATGAGAAGTTTCTCAATGTTAAAAAATTACAAATTTTATATGTGCATAGCTAGATATGTCGTTCCCTTTTACGAAGCTCTTGATATCATTAATAAACACACAATTGTCATATTTACTACCAAACCATATACAAGCACTACAAAACAATAAAAAATGTGTTAATAATTAATTCAAAATATTTTTAGAAAATAGAGTTATTTCTCAATTCCATTTCATATTTTGTACTATATGAAAAATTGCAAGATTTATGTAAGATTATACCTTGATTCTGATTGTTTTTCTTTCCAAAGAATTTGTAGTTTATATTTATCTTCAGGAGGTAGCAATTGAGCGACAACATATTTATTAGAAATTGTTTCATCTTTGTGTTCCTTCTCTTTCTCAACTTTAACTTTCTTGCCTCCATACTCGTAATCTGATATCTTAGTAGTCTTCCTTGCTTTAGCTTTGAAATTTATAATCATGGAATTTTGTAGATTTGTTTGTCTTGATTCTGTCAAATCATCAGCTTTTATTACACAAACTTGTTGGATTAAGTCATGGACCTCTTTCTCCACTAACTGATTTTGCAACTAAGAATTTTGATCTTTTTGTGTATCATGTTCATCCTTTGCATTTGTCTCACAATCTTTTGTTGCAAAAGTTGGTTGCATTATCTCATCGACCTCTTTCTGAAGGAGTTCTTCATCTACCACTTCAGAATTTTCATGGACCTCTTTCTGCACCACTTGAGAATTTTCATCTTTTATTGTATGACTTTCATTTTTGGCATCCGTCCTAGAATTCTTTATTGTACAAACTTCTTGGGTCATCTCATGGACCTCTTTTCCAACCAATTGGTTATGCAATCGAGAATTTTCATTTTTCAATTATTGTGTTTGTGCTATGAGTAGCCTGTTATCCTCTTTAAGTTTATTTATGTAGGTGGTCTTCACTGTGTTGTCAAGTTGCAAATTTTTGTTCTCAGTTTGAAGTTTCTCAAGTGTTTTTTGACAAATGTGTTCTTCTCCCTCAGGTGCATCATTGATTATAATGTTGCACAAGCCAATAAAATCTTCATTTGAGTCTTGTTGATTGACATCCCATTCATCTCTTATGTGGTTGGTAGTTTCTGTGCTTCCAGAATTTTGTTATTTCTTATTTGCTGGCTTTTGTTCGTGGTGGCATTCTTCAACATCTTAACCATCTTCTTCTTCTTATTGTTCTTCTTCTTCTTCTTCTTCTTCATCTTCAGTATCTTCTTCTTCTTCTTCTTCTTCTTCTTCTTCTTCGGTATTTTCAGCATCTTCTTTTTCTTCTTCTTCAATATTGTCAGCTTGTTCTTTTTCTTTTTGTTCAGCATCTTTTTCTTTTTCCTCTTTGTCACAACCCAAACCCACCCCTATAGGTTTAGCATCGTAACCGGCCAGTAATCCTTGGATTACCAAAGGCCTCTAAATAGAATAACACATAATCAAGGGGCTGCGGAAGCAAATATACAAAATACAACGTCCATCGAGCTGTGCAGACATACATGGGATAATATAATTTTAAACTTCATAAGCATACTCATGACATCACATAGGTACAGTAATTATGCATCACCCCATACACAGATAACCAAAAACAACTGTTCAGTAAGAAAAGGAAACAGAGTGTTCAGCGTTCAAAAGGACATGGCCATACGACTTGACTTGGTCAGGAACCTCCTCGGGAGGCGCAAAGGGGTGGCTAACAAAACGGAATCCTAGGCCATCAACTCTGGCCTTGATCACGTGCTTAGTCACTTACATACATAATATAAATAATGAGCGGAAGCCCAGTGAATAATAACAGAGTAAGGGGTTTTAATGAATGACATCTATACCAGATTCAGAAATCATAATTCAGATTCATAAACAGATTCATGTTCTTGTTCAAATCATATACAGTAATCAGTGTCCGTGCTTAATCATACGTGGTACATCCATTAGCGCTAACAGAACAGAGACAGAATAAATGCAGAACATATGGTTGTTATGAGTAACCAGTTCCATAAAGGAACCTTCGGATCCAGGTAACAGAGAATAGATATGTTGAGCCCCATGATGGAGCCTCCGGTACGGGTAACAGAGTGTAGACATAATGGAACCTCCGATACTGGGTAACAGCTAATAGATATCACATGATGCTAAGGATGCCACAAATACATTATCAGAAATTGGACAATCATTCATTATACATAACATATCATTTTAGAAATCAGATCTTAATTCATCATACAGAAGATAAATAAAGTTGAATATAGTTTTACTAAGTTATTACTCACAGATAGCTTCACATGCAGACAGATAGAGTAGACTAATCAAACGATTTATGGCACGTGACCTATGTTACCCAATTGAGCTTTAATTAGTCAAAATCTTGAATGATTCACCAAATCTCCTAGCAATGGCCTTCCCTACCTCAAGTTGATCCCAAGTTCTTAGCCTCTCATCCTCTCTCACATTTTTCCCTCTTGCAATCTCAAAGAAACTCAGAAAATGTGGCTCAAGTGATGTGAATGGGCCACATATAGGCTTCGATTAAGAAATTCTTTAATTAGGCTTGATTGAGCATTAATTACTCTAATTTGATCATTTCGAATCGAATTTCAATTAAACCTACCACAAAATTCTATAAATTCTAATTAACACATAATACAAGTCAATTTCTGAATCGGATGTAGATAAAGCCCTCAATTTGCAAACCGAAATAAAAACACGAACAAATCTTTCCTACGTTAAACAAATATAAACACAAATATTACAACACACATGTAATTAATTCAGAATTTGATCTTAATATCTTATAAAACATATGAAATCATGGATTAACATTAATCATGGGTTGGGGTTGTTACACTCTTCTTCATTTTCTTCTTCTTCTTCAGTGTCATC